CCAGTTTCCTAGGCATTTCCTTTCCAGCTCTAGGAAATCGGAAACATGTCTCTTAGCAGTACGTCCACTATACTGAAGTGTTCAGTGGCATTACTATGATCTCCCTATGGTGTCCTGTGACTGCATAGGTTTCTTAATTCACAACATGCTTCATACTCAGTTCTGAAGTCTGCATACTGAAGGTATAATCCAGGTTCTTAGGAATCTCCAAGGCAGACGTTAACTTTTCTTAGTTGGGTTTATTTGGTAACAGGACGTGTGTTCATAGATAGAGTTCATAGACTGCTGGCTCTGTACCTAATAAAAGTTTGAATTTCCAAACACTTGAAGAAATTTGCAGAGCATGTCTCTGCCTTTAGCTAATTGCAGAAACTGAAACCACAACTCTACCACAAACCAAAATATTTTTCCAGTAGAGAAAGCCCTCCACTTGTATAACCTCTAAGTAGTTGTGGTTATTTGGGAGAGATGAGGATGTGAACTTGTTTTCTTGGGAAACTGTAGAGTGACAAAACAAATACTGGTTAAAAGGTTAGTTATGGTTAATCCCTACTTCTCATACCCTGGGCTTGTGGATGGAAGCAATGTTAATATGATAACCAGCTTCTGCATGCAAGTTTAGTTAGGAAGACAGCAGAGAAAATGGAAGAGTTGGTCGAGTGATGGAGAAACTTAAGAGCAGTACAGCATGCATTGCGACTGCTGATTTGAACTTGGCATGAATTTGTGAGTAATGTTGGTGACTCATTGCAAGCAGGGGAGTCTTGCAGCTTTTGAGGTGATTAGGCAGAGGGGAGAGCAGAGGTGGTGGCCACCCAGGGGCTAAGTATTTGTCTCCTGAATGTGAAAATATCTGGTCCCCTGTTAAATTTTCCAACTGTATCATTCACATGAATTGTAGCATTGTTGAAAATCCTAAAAACATAACCCATATATTCCAATGTGTTTGTTCTTAATCTGAGAGATGATTGTCCTGGGGTGGGAGGTAAGTGGGTGGAGGGGCATAATTGGTTTTGTAATTTTACACAGCTGCTTTTCACCCCTACTCCTGGAGGTGCTGTGTCATTCTCATGTATCTAGTCCTATAAAAGGGCTTGCCTGAATCTTCATGTGAAGGGGGATGGTTATGTGTAGTTGAAAAACTGGCTTGGGTCATTCTGATCCTTCTGTTCTCCACCATTGGAAATCATTGTTCCAAAGCAAATAATTTACATTTAAAGAAACTATACCTCATTTCTAAGACAGTCTCAATACTTGTGCAGTACATTTAAACTTCTTCCTGGTTGTAGAATCTAGGCTGTTCCCAATTTCCTAGACATTTCCTTTCCAGGTCTGGGAAATTGGAAACACAGCTCTTAGCAGTACATGTACTATACTGAAGTGTTCATTGGTGGTATTATGATGTCAGACTGGTTACAGTCTTTATTTTCTTCTTCTCTGAGAAGTCGGTTATCATCAGTAGTGTTAGAAAATAACCTGATCTGAGAAGCCAGCCTTGCCCGCAGCTGGGAATTTGCAGAAGAGTCAGTCATTGAAAACAGACTTGAAGATTATCTGTTGAAGCATTAGGGGTGTGTTGGGATCCAAACCCTTGGAAACCTCAGCTGTTTTAGAGGCTTTTTGACTATTTTAAGACTGGTTGTGGAATGTAGAATTGAAGAAAAACTTAGAAGTGAAAGGACCTTGCAGAATTATCTCCTTCAGATATTTTGAAGAAGACAGTACTCATAAAGGAGCAGCTTTTCTGGAAAAGGCCACCTGTTTGCTTCAGAAGGAAAGGAGGCACAGCTGCGCTTACTGGTCCAGCTGAAGGGGCGAGCCTTTGCCTCCCACCTGGTTGCTTCCCTAGTATATGCTTATTTTCCACATCTGCAGTTTTAGACGTGATGTGTCATATCTGTTACTCAGTTCTGCTTCCAAATGAGAGACTATCTAACCACATAGGAAATGGAAAATTACGAAAAGGACTTAAGTGTTGAAAATGTAGACCTTTGCAGCAGGGTATTTACTTAATTTTTAAACATTTTTAAAAATTCAGTATTGTTACTTAGTCTTTTAAGCCTTTGAATAAAGTTTTTTTTGCAGAGTTTCTGGAGTACATCAGAAAAAGCTGGAGTTTAAAATACTCTAAGTGAGCACCAGTATCAACATTAATGGTTGTATTGTAGCTGTCTTAAAGTTAATTCACTAATGGTTTAATTCCTAATTTCTTAGTTAAATATGAACACTGTTCACTTTTAATGATATTCTTTCAGGGCACAGTTGCTTTTGCTTCCATTCTGAGCATTTGAGAAGCCTTATATGATTTTTTGCCAATCCTCAGTATTATATTTTCCCTCTGTTGTAAACTCTTTATCTAGAAGCACATACACACATTATTAATTTGCTATGTATGTGAACATTTAGTGTTAGTAATGGTTGAATTTCACTTCATATTTTAAATTCACAGTTTTTAAGAGCACAAAGCTGGTATGGTCAGAAAGTTTGTCTAGGTTGCATTTATCTACATAATATCCCCCCTTTTTCCTACTATTTATGCAGGGATGGTGGGAAATGGCATTATAAGAGTATGTCTTACAGTATGAAAGTCTCCTCGTCTTTTGTCTGCTTAGACTTGCTAACTTGTTAGGCAGGTGTAAGCATCCTTCTGCGCGCACGCACGAGGCCATGGAGTGTAGAGCATACCATCCATTCTCCACTCCAGCCGTGGACTCACCCACTGGAGGCAGTGTTTTGTGTTGGTTTATAAGGCCCCTTTGAAAAAGGCAGTTGCCTCAACCTTGTGTTGATTCTGGGGGTGGCAAAGGAGCAAGGGTGACTTGTACGGTGAGTGGTAGAGGCCACCTTAACGTTCCAGTGCTGGAGTTTCAGGCATCAGGTACCTCTGTGTAATCAGTGATTCCCACATTCCTGTCTCCAACTCTGGACTCCAGTATTCATCTGCTGATTTAACATCTTCACTTGGATATCTGATATCTTAAAATCAAAATATTTAAAAACTGAGCTCTTAATCTTCCTGCCCCCAAACCAGTTCCACTTCAGTCTTCCCCTTCCCAACTAACCGGAAACCAATCAATCCTTCCAGTTTATCAAGCCATAATTTGGGGTCATTCTGATTTCCATTGACATGCCACATGCATTCTGTCAACATACCTTGTTGGCACAGCCTTTAAAATACACCCAGAAAAAAAAATAAATAAATAAAATACACCCAGAACCAGCCACTTCTCATCACTGCTTTTGCCTCCACCACTGTCACCCTGCTCTGAGCCACTGTCATCTGCCTTCCTCTTCTGAATAGTTTCTCGCCTTTCGTCTTTGACCCATTTAGACTACTCTCAAGCAAGGGCAATCATTTGAAAACTTAAGTTGGGTTGTGTCACTCTTCTACAGTGCCTCCCACTTCACTCAGGGTAGAAGCCAGCCTTGCAGGTCCCTACCTGATCTGTACTCCCTTCTCCCCAAGCCCAGCCCCGGGCTCGCAGCTCCAGGAACACACCAGGCACATCCTGGCCTTTGCTCTAGCTGTTCCTTTCTTCCCGACATTATCTCACCTCCTAGTTCTTGTTCAAACCTCAGTTCAGCCTGCTCTGGTTACCTGTTGAACACTGCGAGGTGCTCCTTGCCTACTCTCGGCTCTCTCCCCAGCCCCTTTTCTTTTTTCCATCTCTCTCACCATTTTCTGGCACACCACCTACTCTACTGATCTATGTGCTGTCGCCACCCCATTCCTACTGCACCCCAGGCTCTGTGAGGACAGGGACCTTTGTTTTCTTCATTAGTGTATTTCATGTCTCCATAGAGTGCTTGGTGCATAGTTGGCACTCAAAAAATGTGCTAATGTGTTAATGAAAGATAATATTTTAAAAATGCATCAGCCTTTCAGAAATGGGTCATTGAAGAAAGGTTTCACTGAAGAGCAATGCAGCAGTAGATAGCGGTGTTTACCTGTTGTTTGTGTGGTATATGTACAAGTATTTTTTTTAGGCTCAATTTGGTATCCCTATTTTTTAAAATAGCTTTATTGAAGTATAATTTACATGCTGTAAAATGCACTCAGTATAATTGTACAATTCATTGATTTTTAGTACATTGCTGCAGTTGTGCAACCGTCTACTCAAAAAGTTCCCTTGTTTCCAGTTAATTCCCTCTCCTCCTCATGGAACCCTGATTTTATTTGTTAATATTTTGGTTCCCAAATCTTGAAAGAATAATTTAAACAGCAATACTAACATAGTTTTGTGCTCTTAAAAATTGTAAATTTAAATATGAAATTAAATATCCATTGCCTAATGTAGGAAATGGTATTGAATATTATTAGTTCAAAGAAATGGGCTTGAAAGTGAGGCTGGCTGTACTCTTACCAGCTCTACCATTTGCCAGATTACCTGCATTGTTTTTTTTGCCTCAGTCTCTTCATCTGTTAAATGGGGATAACAGTAATTAGCTCACAGAGTTGTGAAGAGTAACAAATATTGCAGGTAAACTGGCTGCCAGATAGTACACTTTGGCAACACAAATATCTCCTGTTAAAGCAAGCCCAAAATATGTGGAGTAAATTACCTCCCAAGTAGAGAGTGAAATTCATGTCAGATTCTGTGTTTCAGAAGTTTGGGTAAAATAGGATACTGTCTCGGTTTGTATGTAATGTATGAGTACAGCAACTGTAGAAGCAGGTTAATTTCCAGCAGAGAAGAGTCTCAGCATTTTTGTTCCGCAGTATCTGCTGAACCACTTTGACTGCATCCTCTGTGCACATCTTAGTTAGTGTTGGCACCAGGGGGGTAGTTAGCCACCTCTTTGTTAAAATCATAAAGTGACCATCAGAAAATGTTCTGAATTGTGTCTTAGTCTCACGTGGGATGTACTGTGAAACACCCTCTAAATGAGTCTTGGGGCATTCGTTTATCTCTAGAAGCCTGATGAACCTGAACTACGTTATCTTTAATAAGGTCTTTCTCTGTGTTTGTTTGTTTTTGGTTCTTTTTCTTTATGTACAGGTGCACAAAGCAGGGTCACCAGAAGCCTCTCGATTCAAAAGACGACAATACTGAGAAACACTGCCCAGTGACAGTGAATCCGTGGCATATGAAGAAAGCTTTTAAAGTCATGAATGAGTTAAGAAGGTATCATTATATTGAAATGCATGTAGCATTGGGTCTCCTCCCTTTATTTTTTTAGTTATTGATAGTGAATGTACTCCTGACCCTTCATTGTTTTTTTTGTTTGATACAGAAAACTTTAAAAGCTTTTTCTGCAGGCTTTTTAAAGGGAGAAAGAGAGCAAATTATTTATCAGAAGTGTGAATGGTATAAGACTGCTCTGTGCATCAGAAGTGTGAATGGTATAAGACTGCTCTGTGCACTATGGTAGCCACTAGCCACATACGGCTATGCTGATTACATTTTGAAATGATAATATTGGATATTTTGGGTTAATAGAATGTAGTATCGAAGTTAATTTCACTTGTTTCTTTTTATACTTTTAATGTGATCACTAAAAAGTTATAACTTGCATTGTATTTCTGTTGAATAGCGCTGGTCTAGGGTTTTCTCACTTATCACAAAGAATATGGAAAGAAAACTTTAGAGGAAAATGTAACTCTCTTTCCAGTGGGGGTGGGGGATAGTCGTCATACATGTAGTAATTTTGATGACTAGTGACCTGCATATTGCAAAAGCAGTTCTCAGCTATATTAAAAATATTTGCAAGGAAAAGGGTTATTTAAAAAGTTGATTGAAAAATGAGTAGCACTTTTTTTCTTTAATTAAAAGACTAATGTATGTGTTAACAGGCTTGGTTTTGTTTTCTTGGCACTTAGCAAAGGCATATATTTTTCCCATTGTTGCCTTTGTGAAAGTATTCCACACTCATTTAAAATATTCGGCCCTTAACAAGTTAGTGACTTAAATTTTCCTTTACCCCTGTGTGTCATGTTTTCCTGAAAACCCATCCTTATCCTTTATTATTTGCTTCTTTACTTAAATTACAGATTCAATAGGTATTTATCTGCTGGGTGCTAGAAATACATTGGTAAGCATAGACATGGGGCTTACAGTTGAATGCAGAAAGCGGGCATTAATCAGAGTCACACACATTAATTTACTGTAGATTTTAAGGGCAGTCAGTGTATAGAGAAAGGCTGGCTGGTGCTATAAAGATGGGTAACAGTGGTCAGGGAAGGCTTTGTTGAGAAGGCTTTGTTGAGAAGGTAGGAGTAATTGTGCTGAGATCTGAAAGCAAATAGAGGTAAGGCAGGATAGGGTGGGAGAGGTCAGAGACCAGTTGTGGGTGCAGAGGGGACACACTGCCCAACTCCTGTGGGAGGGAGCTGGCCTCTTGCAGGAACTGAGGGGTGGTGGGAGTGCAGATTGCCAAGAGTCCCAGCAAGGAGGAGGTGAGGGCCAACACAGTAGAACCATACACATTTATCAGGAGTTGTCACGGGAAGAAGCCATTGGAGAGTTTTAAGCAAGGTTGAGGCATGGTCATATTTGTATTTTGAAAAGAACACACAGGCTGCTGGGTGGAGAATAGACTGGAGAGAGGGACAGGAGAAAGCTAAACTGCATATTTGATTTGCTTCCTGGCCCTGCACTCATTTATAGTACGTGGGCTCCCATTTAGTCCTTGGGAGAACATGTAGCTGGGACAATCCAGCAGGTCTGGCTGTGCTGTTTGTTTTTTGATCCCCTTGCAAAAGTAGTTTAAATTAGAGTTGTAAAATGTGGTGGTTATGAAGTGGAACTGAAAGACAAATAAGAAAAATAGTCTGGTTATCTTAAGACTGAGATCTTTAATGGCTTTTCTTTTTCTTTGAAAAGTCTAGAAAGACTGACTTCTAACAGATTGCTTGGCATTTCCTTTCTGCACTCCTTTGAGGCGTGGCAGTGTGGCCTTCCATTGATGGTGTGTGAGTGGGCCTCTGTTGACCCAGGCTTGACTCCCTAAACTGCAGGGGTGGGGCACACCGACCCCTACTTCCCCTGAGTGAATGACCCAAGGTTTGGGACAGACTATGGCCTCTCGAGCCTTCACTCTGAAATGAGGGGAATGGAAAGGATAAGTCTAAGGTTCATTCCTGCTCTGTGGGTCTCCAGACCTATGAGATGTTTCCTGCTTACCCGCACATCATGAGTGTCCTTGTCTTGTCCAGGGATTATTTAGCTCTACCCCTTGTCACTTGCCCCATTTTGGGTGTGAACTATATGGCTGTGAAATAGGACCTTCTTGCTCTTTGTGTCTCACCACTTCAGGAGCCAGTTGTCACCAGGCTAGTAGTTGATGCTGTTTTTCAGAACAAAGAATGTCTTCTGAATAGCCGGAGAGCGTTGGCTGCCAGGTCTGTAGCCAGAATGCTGTTGGTAGTCGCTGATAGACAGTGCTTTCAAACATGAACTTGCTTTGGGGTTCATCAGAACCTTTTTATTTTTTTAATGTCATTTTCTTCTCTTTCATCCCTTAGAGCCCATTTGAGTAATTAAAAAAAAAATCTCTGAAGAGGCCTCCTCCTGTGCAACCAAAACTCTTTATTACTCCCTGCTCTTGCATCAGCTTCCTGGTGCCAGGAAAGGGTGGTTGAGCATGGTTTCCGGACTTCTGGGAAGGGAGAACTTCCTTGTTCTTACTGCTCTGCCCTTGGGCTCTTGCCCCCAATTGGTAGAAGAAAAGCTGTGCTTAGAGCTTTTCATATTTTTTTATGAGTCTTTAGCTAGTGGAAGTGAAATTTTAGGAGTAAACATTACCTTTCTTCCAATTATAGCTGGCGTGAGGTGTGTTTGGGGGAGTGGGAGGACAGGGATTTTGTGAGGTTTAAAGTTCTATAAATTAATGTAGCTTACAGAAGAGAAATGTTACATTTTCATTAGTTTTTTTTTTTTTTAGACAGGAGGCCCAGATATAGCTCTTTGTGCCAGTCCAATATGAGATTCAGTGTCTTAAAATTACTCTGCTTACAAGCCCTGCACTCACTTCTAAACAATGTATTCAAGTATTTGTAAGCACCTGGTTCTCCTTTGAAATCAGCTCTTGTGCCCAGAAGGCTGTGTTTGAGTCCAAACAGTATCAGACTTGGCCCTTACCCTTGGAGTGTCTGGACTGCAGCAGGGGGTGTGAGAGAAGAGGATGGGGCAGCAGAGAATGCAGAATGTGAGTTCTGAGGGACGCACACAGGAGGGGTCTGCACAGGTCCCCAGGAGTGGTGTTGGCTGGGCTGATGGCATGTAGCAGGGCTCATGGAAGACTGAAGGAGAAGCAGCCCCTGCTCTGAGCGGTTGCATAAGCCAAGGAGGCATAGACATCACTGCTGGACAGAGTTCTGCTGGGAGTCTGTAAGGAAGGCCGGAAAGCGCAAGGAGGACAAAACTGGGGGAGGCTGAAATGGCAGGAGGACTTAGATTTAATTCTGTGGGCAGTGGGAATCAGTGAGCGTTTTGGAAAAGGGAGAGGCACTGTGGGATGGGTGGTGTTGGAGGAACAACCTGGCCGCGCACGAAAGGCCCGTCTGGTCCTGCAGCCCACCTCTGCCAGGAGAGCCTGCTCTGTAAATTTCCCAAACATGAGTTGGTGGCAGTAGGAGTTTTTCAAAACACTAACATTTTAAAAATCAAACCAATAGACCTTTACAGAGGGCTTATGTGCACATGGTATGGGGTTTGTGGAGAAGACAAGCAGACTAAATCCCAGACAAGTTTGTTGAGAACATCATACTGAGGTTTTGAGATAATCAGAAAAGGAAATGTCAAAAGGTAGCATTTTGCCTTTAAAATAAATTTAAAACAAAAGAACTTCTGTTTTCTAGGATATGGGATAAAATTGTCTTGGAGTTTAAAAATGTCAATATTAGTGGGACCAAACTGTTACTTGTTTGGAAGGAAGATTATTTTGATCCTTAAGTTATATTTAGGAGTTGAAGGTCCTAGTAAAAATAAATGATAGGAACCAATCCAAACGCCTACCTGTTTATCACATGTAACTGTAAATATTTAGTTGCTCAATTATAACAGTGGTTTTTACATTCCAGAAGATAATTTAAGCAAAAGAGCCTGACGCTATCTCTTAAAGGGCTGCTTATTGGGTTCTCCCCCAGGACTTTGAGCCATCATAGATCCAGATTATTCCTAGGATTTGATTATCTGCTGTGCATCTATGAAAAACTTGAGTTACTGCTCTTTGGTTATTTGTACTTTGTTGCTTAGATGTCGGGTGCATTAACAGACTTAAAGGGAGTCTGTCTTTCTCTTCAGTGCTTTTTTCACTGTTTTTGAAAAAGATTTTAGGAAATTACATAGGATGTGAATTTGCAATCACTCAAATAGTATTTTTCAAATAGTAAGATGTCAGGTTCTTCTGTTCTCAGTTGTCCTAGAGTAGAATACAAAACATTCCTTGAAGAACAGCCACTGGGAAGAGCCCCCAAATGAAACAAGCTTGTTTATTTAGAAAGTATAAGAGGTATTGTGAAGCTTACAGCCTCAACTTAACTGGTAGCCTTCTAAGGTGTTAAGCACTTGTGATTGATCTCTTTAAGTGGTGTCTATTGAGTGTGGCTAGAATCATTAACCATTTCAAGGAATGTGAAGAATGGATAGTAATAAGTGAGTTCACTGATCCAGTTTATCTCTTCCCCCTGTTTCCATGCTGCTGAATCCCTACATGGTGAGACAGTGCTGCTTCAGAGTTCCCTTCAGCATCCTCTGAATCAAACAACAGAACATTATACTTTGGCTTTTTACTTTAAATTGTTATAGCTAAGAAAGTCTATCTCATGATTTATTTCACCAAATAAAAAAAAAATTTCAATGAGGACATCTCCTCTGTACATAGCCTACACTTCCCACCCTGTGGTCAGGTTTTCACCCCCACAGTCGGAGAGCCCCTTGGCATTCCTGTCTCCAAAACTCTTTAACTCCTTCATGTCTCTTCTACCCCCTCCCTGCCCTTTTCTCTGTCCCTAGTATTTTCTTTCACTTTATTTCTAATTATTATTTTCATCTTCTCAACTGTGACCAAATGTTCTTGCAAGGCTGTGAACCTAGAGATGTCATTTCTCTCCTCTCCAGACACTCAGTAACATGCTTCCCCCTTGTCTTCTTATGGTTCCATTTTGTCATTTTTCACTGTCTTTCTGTTGTCTCAGTTCTCTCTCAGAAGCACGATAGTTTCTCTGAGATTACAAAGACAGACCCGTTAGAGTTATTCTGAGACCTGTTAAACAGTTTAAAGCAGTGTCTCAGTCAGTGTCCATGGTAGGTCCCCTTTGACTTTCCTAGTTGACTGTCCGCTTCAGGCTTCCAGTTTGAAAATCTCAGCAGGTGTGGATCCATTTCTAAGGACTCTTACTGCGGTGGTGAATCTTATTAAATCTAGCATCTAGGTTTTCCTTGTGCTTCACTGGCACAGAAATTCAAATTAAAACTCAAACCAAGAAAGGAAAAGGAAGGGCAGTTCACTTGCCATGGAGTTCTGTCCTCTTGGAGATTGCTGATGTTTTAGCCAGAGTGCAACTCCCTTGTCTGTTAAATGAAATTGTTAGTTACAGGAGGCTTGACTAAGTATGACTAATTTAAGTCTGCAGTCAGGAAGCCTTTCACCTTTAAGACAGCTGGTCCCCCCTTCCACCTCTTGCTGAGAAGTCACACTTGGTGATACCAGCCCTGAACAGCAGCCCCGCATCTGGTGCAACATCTGCTCCTGAGTAGTTCTTAGTTTCCTCCGCTTCTGACCTCTTGCTAAGTTTCTATTTATGTCTTGCTCTTCTTTCTTTGTCCTAACACCTGATGCTGTTCAAAGATGACTTTGGGCACTTCCTCAAGCTGTGGTTTGTTTTTGCCTCACGGACTGGCTAACCGCCCATCTCACCAGCCTGGTACCTGGACTGTTACTCCGATTCCTGATTATTCCACGTGGCAGAAAGTGCCCCCAGATTTTCCCTGGCACCCGAGGAAGAAAGGTGGATGGGGGCACGTAAGCTGTCCATCACCCCCACTTCCATTAGAAAGTAAATTCTTGTTTCATGTGACTCCTAATTATTTTTGATACCTCAGCCTGATGGCACACTGTCCTATAAGAAGATATACACACAGCAGTGATAGGTTTCTCTAGTCTTATGAATTCATTCATTTTATATCAGAAAACCCAAGGATATCATTATCTTTAGGCATGTTTCATTAATTTTCAATTTTCCTGAGAAGGACCAGTTTTCATAATGTCTCATTTAGGAGATGGGGTGCCTTTCATCTTTCTGTGCCGTTTGAGTTTTATATATGGCCTGTGTAACTGATCTTCCTCCAGATTTAAACTTAGAAGTGACTTCTTTGCAAAGCTTCTTTAAGTTGGGCTAGGCCTCTCTTTTGTGTTCCCAGACATCACACATACATCCCATCTGAACAGCCATAGGTTCACTTTGTAGTTACCTGTTAGCTTGTCTAGTTGCCTGCTGTACTGGAAATTTCTTGCTGGAAATGGAAACTTCATGGACATTATCATGTTCATTGTATAATGTGCTTGGTGCACAGCCGCCCTCTGGGTATTTGATGAGTGACTAAATGAATGCTCAGTTTGCTAAATAGCAACATCTCATTTTCTGAAAGGCTTTTCCTTTTGTAGTCCATCCCCTCATTATACTTCAAATAATAGGAACATAAACTCAGAAATGCACTATGTAGACTCGAGTTATGGTCTGCTAAAACAAGTTTCTCTTATTTTTATTGCCAGACTTCATTTGTAGCCCTCTTCTCACTCCGAAGTCATTCAGTTTCCTGTGAACACGCACATTTGGAAAGAGGTAGGGGGAGACTCAGTAGACACACACTGGCTGAAAGATAAGGAAGCTGGTCAGATTTCTCTAATCATTGAGTGCTGTTTATAATTTATTGTTAGAGACAAAAAAGATTGGAAAATTGCATACTGACACTAAGTATTTGAAATGTGATTTGGAATATGGCCTTTAGACTCCATGTGACCTAACCTGGATAATGTCTGCATACTAGGTTGGCATTGTTTGTACTTTATTAGTTAACTAACATCAGCTAATAAACCAGAAAGACTGAGCTAATTGCACAAGTGACAGCCACCAGGTGTTGTGCTAGAAGGTTTGGATCAATGAGTAATTATAATTGAAGGTGAATATAATTAATTATGTAATTTGAGGTATTCATGTTCAAGTGTAACTCCACTGAAGTTCCATCCCAAAACTAGAGCACTAGGTTTATGACAAAAGGGAAACAGGTATAAGGATGCACTGGACTTCTGTTTTGAGTTGTCCAAGGAGGAAGAACTGGATGACCCTGTTGTTGAGAGCATGGGTGCATCTGCTGACCCCCGTCCTACCCCTCCTCTCATCGGCTCACCCCGTTCCTCTTCTCTTCGTGCCCAGGTCCCATTTGTGCTGTGCTGCCTCAGGCCTTTGCCAGCAACACACACTGTTCAGTCTGGAGTTCTTGCTCCTTCTGTGTCCAGCCAGTGCTTACTCGTTTCCAGAACCCAGTGCAAGGTCAGTAGCTGTAGGAACCCATTTCTGACTCCAGTCTGTTGTGATGTGCCTCCGTTCCCATAGCTTCTTTACAAAGGCACTTTCCGCTTCACCCTGCAGTCTTCGCACTGTCTGTCCTCTCTGCTAAACCTTAAGGACAGAGGCAATCTTGCAGTGCTTTGTGGATTTGAGTTTTCTAAATATGCTTGTAGAAGTAGGACTAAAAACCCATTGAAATTTTGACTTTTATAAACCGTATGTGGAGTTTTAAAAAGTAGTTTCCAATGTATAGTCAGTCAGATAATAAATTGGTGTTGTTTATAACTGGCCATCTGTCCCTGTTTTATTTAAGCTTGAACAAGTCTTAAAAGCACACAGCTTTAGGTGTTTCTGTGCAGTAGTTAAGAGGCTGTAGAGCTAGACTCCATGGATCTGAATCTTGGCATTTCCACTACAGGGGAAATGAGACTGGCTGTTCTCTTCAACCTTGGCTTCCCTAGCTATGCCTTTTGGGGTAAAAATCATAACGATAGAGTTGTAAGGTGAAGGAGGGATCTAAGTGAGAGAGTGCATGCGGGTAAAGCTCCTGTGTGGAGCCGTCCTGAAGGCACCTCCGATTCCCCCCACCCCCACCCCGCTTGTTTGTGCAGCCCATAGGTTTCTTAGAATCACAGAATGGTTTTCTCTTCTCAGAGCAGATGGTAGACTTTGTCAGTTTTCCACACTGGAGGAATCACAAATTAGTGATCTGGAGTATTCACAGATTAGTGACATGATGTGACTATTTAGGACCCTAATGTGGGACCTGCCTAATGTCTCACACAGTGTCCTTAGCCTTTGAATCTACACCACCCACCATCTGTACTTGAGCCACAGGGCAGTGCAAGGGCATAGTCAGTGAGGCCCTGAAATGAGATTAGAGGTGGGTGGTGCTTATTTTTCCTAGTTAATCCTTGATTGGAGAGAAAATAGATGCCAATAGGGTCTCCAAAAACTTTTGGTGTGAACTCCACAGGAACAAATTTTAGGGAGTGCAGAAGAATGGAAAACTTCATGTACTTGGTTAAATTCATGTGAAAATGTTGCCTGTGAGCTACCAGAAAATCACAGAAGCAGGCAGGCTACCCTGTGGGAAATAGGCAGAATAGTGGAAGGGGCAGGGCTGGGGTGGGGAGTGTGACCTATGTATATTAGACATTCAGTGCTTGGATATCTGAGATGCAGAAAAGAGTTTTGGTTTCACCACACCTATTTCAGTCATGAGTGACATGACTACTAGTAAGGTCAGTTTTGGACCTGGAGTCCTCTTTCTTCTAAATAAGTGTCAACAGCCTATTTCCAGAAAGGTATTCAATGACATTCTTATTTTGTCTCATCTGGTAGCTTGTATAAACTCTGAAAAGTGTTCACCACATGGATTTGAATGCTTTAAAAGGGATATTTTAGAATTGGGGGTATAGTTATGTTTGCTGAATAGTGATTTATTTTAAGGTAACAAAATACTTTTAAATTTTATATGTGGTAGTATTTTCTGGCCTTGAAGAATGAGACACTTTGCATTGGGAAAATGTTCTGATTAAGCTTCAAATATCTGTATGCCTTTTAAGCAGCAGATGTAGTTGAGTATAATATATTTGCTTGATGACCCAGAGTCATTTTAAATACCTCTTTTTTTTCATACTTTAATCTAATTTAGTTTTCTACATGTTTTATTTTCTTTATCTTAATGTAAGACTACTGTCTGCCACTTCTGCTGATGCTGTCTTAATTCAAATAATCTCCCCTTTCACAATCCATTGACAGTTTACTACCAATAATTCCTTCAGGTTCAAAAATCAGTAATCAAGTTTGGGAAGACATTTCCTTTAAACAAAGGTAGGATCCTGAGTGAGGGCCCATGGGCCTTTGTCACCACTGTTTTCATGTGCTTCATGTCTAGGAATGCTGTCCTAGAGGATGGCTGTTTTTAAAGTTGGTCTCAACTTCAGAAAAGTAAGCTTTTACTATAGTATTTTTGCATAGCATATTCAGTACATTTATTATTAGTATCATTAAAATTTTTTCTGCTTCTAAACAGTCAAAATTTGCTGTGTGATGTCACAATTGTGGCTGAAGACATGGAAATCTCTGCTCATAGAGTGGTGCTGGCTGCCTGTAGTCCTTATTTTCACGCCATGTTTACAGGTATGAAAAGTTTTAGTTATGGGTGTGTTTTAAATGTATACATTTCTGGGCTTTTTTTTCCTTTATTAACATTTTTTATGAAATTAAGCATTGTAATGGAGGAAAATGCTCTTTGTTTCAAATTCCTCTTCATCTTTGTTTTTCATTTTTGCAGTCATGTTGTGGATGTGTGTACATTGCATACATATACTCACAGATTTATGCACAGTTACCCCCCTCTACATTTATATTTATATTTATTGTCTTAGTTTACTTACCTGTCATTTGTAACAGCTTTTGGTGCTTTATTATTTTGGCAAAAGAAAAGTGCTTTTATTAGCTGATATTTTTTTCAAATGACTTTCACATTTACTTCTTTGAGTATTTTCAGTGAACAAAGAAATATTTGTTTAGTGTCCATTGATACAAAAATATAAGAAAATAAGGTGGATATTTAGGCATAAAAAGATATACAATAATTTTAGTACTTCTGGAAAAAATGTAATTTACATTTGCAACATTTGAGGTCCTTAACATTATTTTCTTTTTAATTTTTTTAACATAGTACTATACAAAGAAATGAAGTTACTATCTGTTCCAACAGTGAGCTTATTATCTTAGAATATTGTAGGACAAACAGAATACTTATAAATACAAAGTAGTTATACAACAAAGCACATATACAAAGCTATCCATACTTAAGAAACTATTAAGTATTTCCTATGCCTAATATTTTGCTAGGTAGATATTTCAGGAAATACAAAACATGTAAGTGTTAGATGTTGTGTGTGAAGTAGTTATACAACAAAGCACATATACAAAGCTATCCATACTTAAGAAACTATTAAGTATTTCCTATGCCTAATATTTTGCTAGGTAGATATTTCAGGAAATACAAAACATGTAAGTGTTAGATGTTGTGTGTGGAAGGTCTATGTTCCCAAAGTGGTGATACAGATGCTGAGGCTGTGTGGTAGCACTGGCAGAAGGACATCTGACATTTTCTGGACCTAACAGACAGGGAGGGTTTACACAGACTTGGGCGGAAGGCCATGTGGAGAGAATGGGCTTAGTGTTTCAGTATAGAGAGAGGAGTCTGGAGGCCCCTCACTTCTTGGCCTATTGCAGTCTTGCTGTTCCTGAACAGAGTCAATCAAGAATGTAGGAAGGATAGCAGAGGGGCTGTGAGCCACGCTTGGGAAGTGATTTGGGATGATGGCTTTAGCTGATGCTGATTTGAAAAGTTGATGCTAACTAAGTGGGACTCTGAATCTTCATGTCCTGGGTTTCACTTGAGTCTTGTACTTGACATCTGACACATTACTCCTGGACAACTTTCTAAACTGTCTCTAGGCTTGTAATAGGAGGGTTTGGTCCAGAATGTGCTGGCCTCACTTAGGAATTCCCTAGCAGAGAGCTGTCCCCTATGAGCTGTCGTCCCTCACATGGCCTGCTCGTGCATCTCTTCTGCATTGCTGGACCTGTGGGAAACTCACTTCGTCATTTGTGCTTCCGTTTTCCCACTGGAAAATGGGGGTCATAATATTAATCGCTTCCCGGATTGTTGTAAAGATTGAATGGGATCATATATGTGAATTTCTTAGCCCTTTAGTTGGCACACAGAAAATGCATGATTAATTTTGGCAATAATTATAGTTAATCATCTTTATTTCTTTTTGCTCTGAATCCTAAATGCCTTTATATTCTGTAAGAATAGAAAATTGAGAAAGCTTAAGACTAGATTTTTTTGATAAAAGTTTTATTTTCCACAGTTACAAAAATACAGTGAATAACTTAAAACTGTAAGATGAGGGTCAATTTCCTTTCTCCCAGAAGGCTACATCTCCAGTCTCCCAAGTCTTAGTATCGAGAGACAGGGATGCTAGGAAAAGAGGCAAGGAATCTTAGGACTTTATCTTTCTATTCTTTTTACTTTCTAGTCTCAACTACATTTCAGTTTCCCTTTTTTTTTTTTTGTCTAATGGTTCTCAGCTCTTCTTGTTTTAGTTGATATGTAATTTATGAGTATGTGAGTTTTGTCTAATGATGGAATGAGGCCCTGAGGACATTCTGATTCTATAAATATTCCTAGTGTATCTCAGTTCAGCTGGCAGGGGGGTACTACTTCTTGCAGTTCAGCTTCTCTACTTGAGAATATATACCTTCTATACTTGATTGAATTTCAGACTGCTGTGTGCCAAAGTAGGTGCAAAATAGAGATACCATGTTAATTTATGGCACATATAAAATGAACGCCACACTTGTGTTTTTTAAATTTTCCTGAGGCATATATGTCATAAAATTTATTCCTTTCAAGTGTAGTGTTCAGTGATTTTTAGTATATTAACTAAGTGGTATGGCCATCACCATAAATCAATTTTAGAACATTTGTATTGCCACATAATAGTTCTGAGGCTTATCCATGTAATACTCCCTATCATCAACTTATTCCTTTTTATTGTTAAATAGATACCATTGCATGGATTCGCCACATTTTGACTATATCATTCACCAGCTGATGGGCATTTGTTTTTTTTTTTCTAATTTTTGGCTATTTTAAATAATGCTGCTATGGACATTCATATGCAGTTCTCTGGACATATATTTTCTCATGGGAGTAGATGCCTAACAGTGGAATTTCTGAGTTATAATTTATATTGAACTTAAAAAATACTGCTGTGCTGTTTGCCAGGGTGCATCATTTCATACTCCTGTCTGCATTATACTAGGGCTGCCTACCATTCCTCCACAGCCTTGTTGACACTTGTTACTCTCCCTTTTTATTGTGGTCATTCTAATGGGTGTGAAATGGCATCTCTTATATGTGATTTTGATTTGCATTTCCCTGATGACTAGTGGTGTTCTTCAGCAACAGTTGTTGTTTACCTTTTTGACAATCTTTGTATCTTTTTACTGTTGATTCCACTAAAGTGTCAGTGCTTTCGTAGGAATTGGGTAGAGAAGACATGGATAGTTGGTCTAGGTGTTTTAGTATATGTGTATTCGTTGACGATTTGCCAGAATATGAGTCCACTGCTTCTTTGTCTGTTTTCTTCTTCTGAGGCCCTGTTAAAACTTCATAATAAAAATGCAGTGAGGCCAGTAAGCTCACCTTTGCATGCTGCCACTCCACCATACGCCGTGGGTTTATACCCTCTGGCTCACTGGGTGATCAGAGGCCCTGGCAGTGGTACAGGGTGTTGCTTGCTCTTCTTTCATTTTCCTATGACTCACCTATTAGGAAATGTATGCAGATGCTCTTTTTTGGCCCTTGCTTTTAATCTCCCACAAATTGTAATTGAATTTTTCATTCTGTCACCTAAAAAAGGCATCTGTTACTCGTCGTTCCAAGTATCTGGGTAAAGAAGGGAGGTGAAAAGTAATTTTGGGATCCAGTCATAGGTTTTTTACTGTGAAATATGGGCCTATTTAGAGCACTGCCAGGTTGTTTAACTGTTACTTCAGAAAGAAAATATCAAATTGAGTTCTTGTGTTTTTAAATTGTTTGGCATAAATGTGGCATTTAAAATGCTGTTTCTCTTATAAACACATTTGATGCTTATTTGGTGCCATGGGCTAAAATATCTTGAAATCCAGTGGAAAGTATTGAATTTTTAATTCTATTCTTTTTTTGATTTGTCGTACTGAATATGATTTATTAAGGTAAATTAGAATAGGAAAAAATAGATCATTTGAATGATTAAGAAGTGAGAATTTTAAAAAGTTGTGTATATGGTTATTTTTGTCAAAGATTTGTGATTGCATTCATCTAGGTATATTTATTGAGTATCTAATATTATCCTAGGTCTTGGGGATCACAGGGATGACCAAGACAGACAAGCCCCTGTTCACATGGTTCTTACTGGGAAGAGGAGGAAAGGATAGACAGAGAGTAGACATTAAAAAAAAAAAGATAATTTTTGATATCACTGACAAGGTGTTTCACGAAGAGCATAAGTTAGAATGCTTCAGTCTGCACAAAGCAGAAAATTCCACTTAAACTGGTTTAAGCTGTAAGGAAATGTAGTCTCTCCTAATGTGAAGTAGTCTGGCCTCCAGGCACAGTTGGATCTGCAGCTTGGGAATTTCATCAGGGATCCACTTCCTTCCATCTCTCCACCCTTCAGTCCTGAATGCAAGGTGCCTACCAGAGGGGACCCAACATCTTGAGGAAGTAGGAGGGTTGTTTGTCTCTCCAGGAGCTAGGAATCCTTTTCCAGAAGTTACTCAGGCTAGACCAGAACGGGCAGGGAAATGCATTTAACCATGCTTGTCTTAGATTAGCTATGAAATTGGGGGATTATGTCCCACGACTGCCCTAGAAAGTGGCTGGCAGGGGCATTCCACGTCAGCTGCCAAAATGAAATACCTGTGTGTCTGGAGCTTCTTTGTAACCCAAGACTGATAGTGAACAAAAGAGCAATAATGGTTGTGATGGCAAATGGAACTTAAAAATTAATGGAATACAGGTTATTCATTAGTAGAGCTGTAAATTTATCATTTACATCTTAGGGTTTCAGCGTAGTAAAAGCTTCTGTATTACACTTACATATATTTTTTCAAGATATTTTTATATGCTAAACAATAACTGAAATTAGAATCATAGGATTTTAAAAAAATGGGTTGTAGGGTTTGCCCTCTTAAACCTATTCACTTTTTAGAACTTCAGAACGGATAAATAAAGTCATCAGTTTGTGCTGGGCTTCAGGAGTCCTGAGTGAAAGTTCATAGCTTTCCACACATAGTCTTTAAGCTCTTACAATTTGGAGGACTTCATATATTTTTTCCTCAAATAAAGTAGAGATGGTGCAGTGTTCACTGGTGAAAGTGCCTATCTTGGCTGGCATTTACAGTGGATATTTAAGAAATGTTTGTTGACCAAAAACTTTCACAGTTAGAATACCCATGTTAAAGACTAATTTAAGTGTTGTTAGCTATGTTAATAAAGATGCTACACTTAAAATTGTACATGGACATCCATTCAGCCAGTATTCACTGGGTGTTTACTGCATGTCAGCCATGTAGGATACACAGGTAAGAAAACCATCATCTCGGCTCTCAGTGAGCTCAAGAAGCCGGTGAGAAGTAGGTGCTATGCCAAAGGTTTGCAGGAGTTGCCCAGATGTACTACTCAGGGTGAGAGCCTAACCCATCCTTGGGCCCCAACAATAAGACTACCTGGAGAGGTTCCAGCTGAATCCTGCAAATGTGTGGGGATCTCCTGGGTGGTGAGGGTATGGGCAGACAGAGGACTAGGCTCAACAGAGGTGTCAGGTGGGAAATTGCTTGGTGTGTGGAAAACTACGGAAAGTTCCTTTTCAATATATTTTAAGACTACAAGTGGGAGAGAGCGGGGGCAGAACAGTGAAGCAGGGGTGGGAGCAGCTGAAGGCTTTTGAGTGCCATGGCCAGGTCTGTGGAGGCAGGGGGAGAATTAGGAGGCTGCTGAGCTGGTGTTGGCTGGGCAGTGGCAGATGGGATGAAGAGGTTGTTTGAGCTCTATCTGAGGTTAATTCTGCAAGTTTTGGTGATTGATGGGATGGGCGGGTAAGGAAGAGGAGGGGACAGTCAAAGCAGACAGCTTTGGAGTTCTACATGATCAAAACACAGAAGCAAAACACTAATCTGGAGGTAAATCATGGGAAGTTAAAAATGATTAAAGTAAACTGTAAAGTATCACTGGATATTTTTTGAAAATTCATTATCAAAAATCTCCCAAAACCATACTGTTTAAAGAGTTCCTCTATGAAGAGCATAGGGCAGTAACTAAGGTAATAAATAGCAACTAGAATTAGATCTAGATAGCTTTTACAACTCTCTTTAGTTTGTGTTTTGATTCTTAGTTGCTGAAATTTTTGAACTATTAGTGCAGTCTGTGACAAGCTGTTTTTGTTTCCTGTTTTTGTGAACTAATATGAAAAATAAAGATTAAAATGTTTCTAAAGGAGTATGTGATAGAGATTGAATTTGTTGAAAGTAGATACAATTTTCTAGGGAGAGAAGTAATTAATATTAAAATGATATATAAGAAATATATGAATTAGCAAAGTTCATTTTAGAACAATACCGTAAAAACTGTAATATTGAAAACTGCTTGGTAGTGGACCACTTTTCAGCCATATAAGTACATGAATGTCATACTTGTTTTTGTCTAAGCTAAGTCAGTCATGCTAAGTCCTGAAGAGTGAATTCAGTCATTGAGAATTAAGTACATAGCTTTATGCTTGTGTGGCTCTGGTCCTGCAGGGCGTCACACACTGCAGGGGCCCTACAGACGAATTAGATGTGGCTTTTGTCTAAAGTCCAAGTGTGAATTCCCAAAGATGAAGAAGTACATTTTCATTTTCTTAGACTCTGTACTACTCCATTTTCTTTAAGGGAGGAAAAAAAAAAGTGCCAAGGCAGCAGACGCTTAGCCCAGCGCTTGTTTCCCTGCTATATGGGCACATACCCCTCTTACTAGCTCTTCTCCCTCTCTTTAATACCAATGGGTGCTTTGTCCCCTGGGGAGTAGCATGTAGGTTTTGAGATGTTTTAGCTCTTAGGAGCTTCTTTCGGATATCTTGTCACAGTCTCCAGGGAAGCATGTCGTTAGGAGTACATCAGTATTACTGCCCTCCTCCCAGGGTTTGTGTTTGCTAAGGAATTTTGTGTAATTAGGATTCCCATGGGCTCTTCTGATAGTCTGTGGTCACTGAGGATGTACTATAGCTGAAAAAGAAATGAACTTTCAAGAAATCTTGAGGCCATTGTGTTTTTCTAACAGCAGATGCTGGATTAGGACAAAGGTGAGGGATGGCAGCATTTTTTTCATGCTGCTTTTATCTTTAAAACCTAATGGACTCTAAAACTGAACCTTACAGCTAAGGTGTCCCACAGCACTCAACACTATTTGTAGATTGCCCTTGTCATTTCTAAGTGAAGTTGTCCCCACATTTGATTGCTTATGTGTCCTATATCTTGGGTCTTTTTATGTTGTCCACACATGGGTGCTCAAACCTGCTTCTTACTCTCCCTAAGTCCCCTTCTCTTTTCCGCTTCCCTGTTTTCTTTCCACAAAAGAGGATCTTATTTATGATCCCTGAATGGTTAATTCGTTCCGTAGGTATTAGGAGGGAGGCCTTGTACCACTGTTAAGCAAGCAGTGATGTAGAAGGGTGTCTGGCTTCAGTAGTAAATGCTAGTATGGAAATGACTTCAGGATGAAGTTACCGCAGATGACGAGCAGGAACAGGACTTAGGCTGGGAGGTCTCTGTAACAGCCTTGTTACTAATCTTTCCTGATCCTCCCCTTGCCTTCCATTCCCTCAGCATCTTATGTGATTAGTGTTCTGTTTCCTGCACGAGGGTTGTGTCCTCCCCAGTGAGGGCAGGGCCTCTGTTGAGCACAGGAATGCCCATGGCAGGCTGCTGGACGCTGTTGCCGGAGACGGCGACATTGTGACTCTTCTAGTTGTGAGCAGAAATACAGAAATAGAGTGAACTGTTTGAAAAAATAACGGGTAGCATCAGACACTGAATCTGTCATTCCACAAGTACTGTAGTCCATGCGATTGGACATGTGCATGCTCATTGTGGTGATGTGATTTTCAGGTACCAGTGAGTTGCAAAAGTACATTTTATGGTTTGCTCAGATAAGCCTGGAGGGTAAGTAGGGGAATGTTTTAGGCCTGCAGAAGAGTGGCTGATAATGGGACCTGCTGAATACAGTGACTGGTAAGAAAATGGGTCAGTGTTTCTTGGTGCTCGTGTTCCACAGCAGTGTTGCTGTAGTGTCACTCTCACTCCTTTGTGTTTTAGGTGAGATGAGTGAGAGCCGAGCCAAGAAAGTTCGAATAAAAGAGGTAGATGGCTGGACCCTGCGGATGCTAATTGATTATGTTTACACTGCAGAAATTCAGGTTACAGAAGAAAATGTTCAGGTAAGAGTAGACACCTCCATACCGTTAGGTTTTTTTATATATGCTGGTTCTCTAAATCCAAAGAGCACACCCATATACATTTTGTACCAAAGTAATAGAATTTGTTGTTAAAACTGCATTTCCAAGAGACATTTGAGATGATTGTATTTCCTTAATCCTGCTGATTTCAGTGTCTTTTATGTTCTTAAAGTTCAAAGATACAAATTCTTAGTTCTCTGAATGATGCTTGTTCATTTGTGGAAACACTGTCATACTCATTTTCACTTGATTGATGCTGCCCACATTTTTCTCTATTCCCTTGCAGTTATGGTCTGTGAAAGATGTTGACTACCTTTATTTCTTTTACTATTCCAGCATCTTCTGTCAGAGATTCTAGAGATCTCAATATTTTAGCTAAAGCTTGACACTGTATCTTTCTTTCTCTAAAGAACAAGTATTTTACATGTATGATGTAAATGTTCAAATAATACAGGTGTATATTTAATAGAAAGTGAGAGTCCTTTTTTAAGACTGCCCTCTCCTTCATGCCCACCCAGCCACACACATTGATCTACTCTCCTTCCACAGAGGGTAGACTCTCTCACCTGTTTGGCATGAATCCTTTAGACCATCTTCTGTGTAGTTACACACACACAATTTTCTTGACAGCATAAGTATACTTATGCTATGTCTGTTGTTTTGTAACTTATTTTTTTCACTGAACAAAGGCCTTGGAGTTCTTTACTTGGCAGTACAGATGGGTCCAGCTCATTCTTTTCTGTGGTATCCCATATGTTAATCAGTATATCATTTTTCACCTTTATAAAAATGCTGCAGCAAATGAAAATTTTTATGTTTGCTTCCAAAATTTTCATGGGATAGATTCCTCAAAATGCATCTTGTGGATCAAAGGATACATGCATGTTTTAATTGTTGATAGATATGCAAAATTGCCATCTGAAAGTTTGTGTTTTTACTCCTCCAAACAGGTAAACTGTTTTAAGAACAGAAAGAACTGAGACTAAGAAATAACTCTCAAGTTGTACTTGAACAAATAGGAAATTGTGGGTTCAAACTTTTTCCCTCGTAATTAGTCCCTAGTAGTGCTACAAAATATTTGAATTTGATATTGAAATCTTTGTACTTTAACATAAGATGTGTGATTATGAAATCTGAAGCACTGGCATGGTAAGGCCTCTTGTTGGCTTCTCCCAGATGGCCTCGTTTGCCTTTGCTTGGAAGAGCTGTTTGCGGGTGCGGCATTTGGAAAACCACAGTTAATGTTGAAATCACATAGGGAGGGTATGAGTCACTTGCTCGGTGAGCGTGTTTTCCACCTGGATGAAAGTGTTCAGCACATGTACCAACATGTCTCATTGTCTTTTCTGTAAGCCATACTGTTTTCTGGGTCCAGGGGCATTGTCTTCAAGGAGACCCATGGGTTTCTTTTTGCTTCTTTTTTATCATTTCAATAATGTGTGCTCTATGTCTGACCTTCAACAAGTGAATTACTGATAGATTTCTTTCCTTCACATAATACGTCATGTCACATGGAGGGAAAATGCAAAAGATGATTAAGGCCAGAGACTAGAATTCAGCCGTGAGTGCTGTTTGCAGTGGTTCCTGTGGGAGAGACATGGGATGAGGCACTAAGAACACTTCCCCTGTTTCCTTTAATAACTGTCATATTCCAGTCCTGAAATATTAGTCATCACAGCCTTTCAGAAAACCTCTTGCCCTGCTGAGTTGCCTTTTGTGTGTAGTGCTCAGCTCTTACAGTAATCCATTCAAAGAGGTGTACTTGGCAGACATAAGTGCTTAATGTCTGTAGTTTATTTTGAAGAGGGATGTCTGTTCAGCATAGGAATATCTTGGTATATAAAGCCTTGTTTTGTATTCCATTGAAAAATACTTGTTTTGGAAAAGGCAGTTGGGAGAATAAAATTTGATTAATTTAAGCTGCCTTTTTGATAGCAAGTAGTTTTTAATGAAATACAAAGTAAGGGTTTACCTATCAAGATACACCGTACTGCTCTTTTCTGTTTTGGGTGTTTTTGTCTGTCTGCACTTTGTTAAATCTTTCTTGTAAGTGCTGCTCACTTTAAGGAAAGGCGCCAAATACCTTGTGTTTTTATTAATGTTAAGCTAAACTTTTAAATGGCCTCAACTAGAAGATCTGCTCTGAATATATCTGCCTTGAGAGTGCTGATGGTGGGGACAGGACTTTATGTAATTCAAAGGTTTGTGGTAAGTGTGTTTTCCCATTAGACCTAGAATCAAATCTCCTGTCAGGTGAACCTCCCTTTGATAAGTTTCTGCTTTAGTAATAAAGGGCAGTTTTAGGATAGCAGGATCTTAGTTGTTTACTTTGGGAATGCATGTTTGGATGTAGACTCAAAGAATGCTGAGGTTCAGCTGTCTTAGAGTCAGTTGGTGAGAGAGCAGGACCATAAACCCAGTTTCCCAGATTCCTTGTTTAGGGTCCCTTCTGTAACACCATACAATCTTTTTACTACACAACTTAAAAATATACATAATAGCTGTTTGAAGTGAAGGTTGTTAACTTTGAGTCAGAATGAGGAAATGAAGTAATATGAAAAACTCCAAAGAAGGAACAATTGTTACTGTATTATGTAAGTAATAGGACTTGAATTATTGGCTAAGGTTTCCCTGGTATTGTTTTTTTGGGGGAGGGATGTTGGTGTTACTGTGTTTTTGTTTAGATTTTTCAACTATTGTTTTGAATTTGGGTATTCCCTTTTATTAATAGCAAGGTTGGGGAAAAATTTGAGCCAAATTAATTTGTTTGTTTACTTTAAAAGAACAAAGAAGCAAAAGAATATATGTCTTACCATGACCAAGCTTTTAATTGAATTTCTTTGTTGTTGCTATTGAATAATTTAAATTTAACTTATGTCTAGAGTTTACAGTCAAATTTTACAAACTCTATGGGTCTGCCAGTGGGTTTCAGCCCCGGGCAAGTTCACTATGGATTCAATGTGACCAAAGAAATGACAGTAAAACATTCTTGGGAAGAAAGGGTTATACCCAGCTTTATTTCCATGGTGGCAGGTAATCAATAAAATCCCGTCCATTCAGAGCGAGTCTGCATGCAGCAAGCTGGTCTCTGCCTCTGGGCCTCTGTCTTCAATGCTGCTACCACTCCAGCCTCTGTTCTGCTCTCCTGCAGCCATGCAGCCATATTGCCCAGAGCACTGGGAAGGCTCTTTATATAGAGTCAATAATAACATATTGCTTACACCTGTGCACTGAGCTAGCCAACCAGGCCAGGTGAGAGGTGAGAATCGTGGCCACAGGACCTTTCATTTTATCCACATCTGGGACAGAGAAAGCAAAATGCTTCTGTAAAGAGGGCCTTATAAACTTGGATTCATGGACTCCTTTGAGAATCTGATAAAAAACTGTGGACCATTTCCAAGTAAAGTGTACATCGGCGCATATGCACAAGGTTTTGCAGCCACTTTCAGAGAATTCACCTGCTTTGTTCCTTCCTCCCAACTATTAGAAACACTTGTCTCTTTACATACAAAGGGTTTTCACATGGGTTTATTTTCAGCTGTGTGGTAAGCATTTCACATGGGTCTCATTTTATACACCATGTCAGGTATTACTCCATTTTGCAAATGAGGAAGCTCAGGAACGTTAATTAATTAGGTAAGCATCACACAGCAACTATCAAGTTGTAAGTGTTGCTTAAAAAGAGAGTTTATAAATTCAAACATAAAAATAGCTATATACTGAAAAATATTTTATTCATTATTCAAAACTTATTGAAGGTTCATTATTTGATGTGTTGATTAATACATTTTTGGAGAATTCTAAAGGATCTTGAATTTTTTAAAACATTTACTTCATTCCTGTTTCTGTGGTTATATGCCATACGTTTTGACTTCCCAGCTTTTGGGTATTTGTTTTGGCTTGCTAAAAGTAGGCAAGTGTTTTTCACTTTATCTAAGTGGGAAAAAAAGGTAAGGATGTTAATAGACAATGCCAACCTAAGTAAGTGCTTTTATTCTCAAATTAATATTCTAAGTGTTTATCTATAGGTTCAGTCTACATTTTATCATCTCAAGAATTTAAGAAGCATTTAATAACTTTGAATGGATTTTAAACAGCTAATGAAACTTACATGCTGCATAACTTGAAATTGAAATAGAAAATCTTACTCTTTTAGAAAAGGAATAGAATTTAGGAGTTTTTCAAGAGACATTTCAAATGAGTTATTGGTAACAAACATACCAATAGTGTTTAATACAGTCTCAGTACAGCAGAAAATTCAACAGTGTGTCCATTT